TATTTTTTTTTTTAGGAGATTAAACTCTGTTTTATCATTTTTTTTTTGGCAGCCAGTGACACCATGAAGTTGTTTCTTTGATTGTTAATCATTGCTAGTTACGGTTAAAACATTTGGAATCTCTGTTCTTCTGGAAACATCCCTGTAATTCAGAAGCAGGAACCTCGCTGAAGTGGGGCAGGGCTCTTGGCCGCGGTGCGTGCAGAGCAGCAATTGGGGCCTTGCTGAGGCTGTTTCCGCCTCCATTCTCAGACTCAGTACCTGCAGGATTTCCCCACTACAGAGGGTATCAGTATTGACGAGCGAGACCCCCGCCCTGCCACCCTCTGCAGTCAGAGACCAGCACCACCGTTGGCTCTTGAGTTCAGCAGCTGATGCTGCTTTGCTTCCATCTGTTGGATCTCGGCGTAATCTCAGGGAGACTGACGGGGAGATTCTACGGGACTTTCTCATCAGTTGCTGCTAGCTAGCTAGAACAACCAAAAGGAATGCCAGCCCCTCTCTGGCCCTCCATGCCGAGCCTCAGAAGCGAAGCATACTACTTACTATATGTCAGATTCACCATTTCTCAGGTTACTTCCTCCATGGAAATAATGTTTTCAATATTTAAAAGAAAATGCTGTAAAACGTTTATTGGTTAAAAGGGGGGATTGCTCTTTGTAACAATGAATTCAGCACATCACTATTTTAACTTTTCTTGCCCAAATTATAACTCTGTCATATAATAATTTTGTAAGTTTTGATAAATTTGCATATTATAGTCCAGGCTCTCAAAATGAAGATAATTCCCCTTCTCCCCCTGTTATCCTCAGGGTAATAAATGACAACCCCCCCCCTCTGTTTTTATGACCCACCCAGCCCTTTTCCACGGTCATTCATAGGAGTCTATCCTATTATAATTTTCTTTGACCATTCAGTTCCACCAGTTTGCTAGATATATTACTCTATAAATGTAATTTTTAAAAAGGCTAATAGTGACACCACCTGACATGTAATTATTTCCACTAAATTACTCAAGGTGGATCATTGCTTTATTAGCTCTAAAAATGTATGGGTGCTCTAGAATCAGGAGCTGCAAATGAAAATCATAGTAAGCAGAATCAAAGTATTTTTCTTCACTTTGTGCTACATTAAACTGTTTTACTTGCTTTCATTGCTATATACGTTTTCTCTAACTACGATTGAATTTTATTTTTGTAAATAGCTGTCCAGTTATTTATCCCACTGTGTAGTTTATTGATTCCAATAACAACATTCACGTGTTTCCTCATTTCTTGAGTGTTTGATGCAATCAGAGCTGTTATTTTCTTCTTCAGAGAACTTGATTTCATCAAGAGACAGGAAGCAGAAAGAAAGAAAATAGAAGATTTGGAAAAGGCTCATGTTGTGGAAGTTCAAGGCCTGCAAGTGCGGGTGAGTGATGTGCCAACGCCATGAAAATAATAAGATAGTTTTGTCTAGTACTTGGAGAGGAGTGCTGAGTTCGAGTTTCAGAAATGGATTTTTTTTTTCTTTTTTCTCTCAGATTAGAGATTTGGAGGTTGAGGTGTTCAGGCTGCTGAAGCAAAATGGGACTCAAGTTAATAACAACAACAACATCTTTGAGAGAAGAACATCTCTTGGAGAAGTCTCTAAGGGAGACGCCATGGAGAACGTGGATGTCAAGCAGATGTCTTGTCCAGATGGCCTGAGTCAAGGTTTGTCTAACCCTTGTTTAGACAAACATTGTTTTTAATGACTGTAAAATTTGGCTTTACATTCTTTTTCTTATCCAGGGATTTAAATGTTGAAAACGCCTTTCTACCATGGGAAAGAAGAAAAGGTTTATCAAAATAGGAACTTATCATTTAGCACTCACTTGTCTTATCAAAAGTAAATGCTTTAATGCTAAGAAACAAAATTCCAACTTACGCAAGCCCAAATATTATTTTAAATACAAGATAACATTGATAGACTTAATAAATTGCTTTAAAGTGATAGTTCATTTAGAGTGAGCTACACTACTTATCTATTAATGAGTAAGGTTTGAAATTTTTAAATCACTAGAGTAAAGATCTTTTTTATAACTACTTCCAGCTCTTGGAATTCATTAAATTAAGATGTTCTACGCAAGTTTTTTGCTTTTCTCTTGCTGTCCTGTATATAATTCTCATTCTGTTATTCTGTTTAAGACCAAATAATGGGACCAAAATACTGGAAACAATTTCTATATGAATGGTTGTCTTCTTTCATACACCAACCATAAATAAATCACTGATTTTCTCACTCACATACACGCCTATACATAAATTGTGTGTGTGTGAATGTGAAGGAATGTCTTAATATCTATAGTATATTTACAGATTAAAAAATGCGTAAGAATTTATACTTATAAATACACAGGGGGATATAAAACTTTTGGTTAAAATAGCTCCCCAGTAGTCCCTGGGAGGGAAGGGGAATAAGAGAATATATAGCAGCAATGTCATGAGAGCCGATGATCACAGGCAGGGATTGGACCCGCAGTTACGTTAACTTGTAGAACTACACTCTTAGCCATTAAAAATGAAAAGTATTGGAAATCTTCATTTAAAACTGAAGTGGTAGCTAGAGACTTGAATCCATTCACTGAGCTTATATCCTTTTTCTGGGTTTTCCCTTAATAAGATATAATCTATGTATAATGCCTCCTGGGCAGCTTAAATGTGAGTATTGAGCTCCAGCATTACCATTCACTGAAGAGCCATGTGACTTCCTTAAGGTCATTCAACTCAGTGGGGTGAGTTTTACTGTCTGTTATATATAAATAGTAACACTTCCTTCTTCCCCACCTAAAGAGTATTGTGAGGCTGTATGACTTAGTGAAGTGGAAGAAGGCAATTCTTTGGAGCTTTTAGAGAATTAGTGTTTATGTCTGCGACTCTGTAAGATTGATTTCTAAAACAAAATGTCAGAAATCAACACGTTTTCATGTTTTGGAATATTGTAATTCCTAAAAGCAGTTGCACTTACAATAAACACGTGTCCCGGTATAACCTGTGACCAGCAGCTCTCCAGACTCCGATTCACTTCTGTTCCTTTCCCTCAGTTCAGAAATCTGTATCTTGTCAAACATATAATTAATGGTATTTATTAAATTATATGACTGCAGAAGATCAACAAACTGTACTATTAACATCCTGATTTAGAGCAAAACCTCACATTTCTTCTGAACCCTTCTTCCCTTCTACACCCTCCATTTTGCCACATAATTATCAGTTTCCCTAGCAACAGTGTCAGTTCACAGTGAGATGCAGGGACTACTAATTCTTGCTGAAGCTCATCCCTGCTTGTGCAGCAGAGGTGGAATCTGTCATCTCCGATGTTAGTAGCGTACATATCAAGAGCTGCTCTTCCAGTATCGCTGCTGAGGACAGTCGGTGATAAATCTCCTTGAATTTCAAACTAAATGGCTTGGTCAGGAACTAGATAGGAATGCTCTGGAAAGCACTTTCCTAAATTGATCCTTTGCTTCTGTTGCTAGGGAACGCTGAAGTCCTCGAGGTTTAGAAAAGGAAGTGAAATGTGGACCAAACACAGGCCATCCTGCATTTAAGGATCCCCTCCAACAAACACATTTTTGCGACAGGAGGGGTCCAGTGGCTGCAGTCAGTTCCCCGGCTCCTGCCCCTCGGACTCAGTGCTCTGCCTCCTGGGGACTGTCCCGCTATGGTTTGCTTTCTGAGCACTGGATGTTTTACTGATAGGATGAGTTGATTAGCATATTTTCAGGCCTCCAGGTGGCTCATTGAAGCAAGAGGATTATCAATTACAGGTCAATGAAAACGATGTTAGGATGAAATAGTGAAAGGAGAAAGGAAGGGGTGAGTGAAGGAGTCAGAAAGGACAGAGGGAAGAAGAGCAGATAAGCAGCCATTTCTTCGCATGCACGCATGGTCTTCTAGGACAGAGCTCCCCAGCTGCGATGGATTCATTATGTGGCTCTCAATATTGAATTATTGACAAAACTATTTTTCCAGCCATGCACAAGTTTACCCCATTAAAGTTATATCTGAACATCATTTGTTTGGTTCTCTATAAACTAAGCCACTCAAATATCTCATTAAATTTTTGATAGAACATATATTGCTCAATATACTTGAATGCTTTTTTCTTATAATATATAAAGCAAATATAGCGATTATTTTTCATCAAGAGCCATAGCAAGCCCTAAATCCCTTCTAGTGTGTGGCCGTGTACTGGACAAATATAATTTTACACCTGTTCCAGGATGTGGAAAATAATTTTTCCCTACTGCCGTGTTTCACGTCCACTGATGACTCTGGTTGAGAGAGTTCTCGACATTGTATCCCAGTGCCCTGAAGTGGCCAGATATGCCCGTGGCTGCCCAGCTAGTTAGGTCGGCATTAGACTAAACGCAGAGAACAGGCATGTAGAGAGATCTTGGTAGGAGAAACGGTTAGAGTCTTAGTTGGATTAGATTCCCTAGAAAAGTCACCTGAACAGCAGCTCTTCCTCAGTTTCTAAATATTCCAGGATCTTTATGCTAATACTGTTTTCAGCTTCAAGTATTTTAAAGGCTGTTTGTTAAAGAAAAAGGATGCATATTCCATAGAGATACTGAAAGAAAGACAAGGACTGATACTTCATGTAGTGGAAACTATATGAAGGCAGATTATGATTATTCTATCGTGAGGAGTCGCCTGGTGGCACCCTAGCTTGGAAGAGAAAGGGTGGCTACAAGGTAGAAAGAACAGTGTTTGGGCCTGTTAAGTGTGCAGCAAGATGTATGATTTGTAGGATGGCTGGGACCAAGGGTGAGGAAGATAAAAAAGGGTTTGATATAAGACAGATAAGATAAATTTTAAGAAATGAGAGGGAGTGTGAAGAAAAGAGAAAAATGAATAAAAATGGAATAATGTTTTTCTTATTTGTAGACTATGTTAAAGGTGGTACCTTACGTTAATGCTGTGTCATAGGGTGTTCTTGGAGTAACTGTAGACTTTCAATGCCTGAAGAAGAGTTTATACTTAATTCTGTAAGCATTGTGACCCATTAATGGTATTGAGGCAAAATAGGAGCTGGGTCATGTGTTCTCATTGTAGACCAAGCATCTCTGATTTTTTTTTTTACAAGATCCCAATTATAATGGCAACAGAAAAGATATGGTAGGCAGTATGAGTTCAATAAAATAACCTCAAGACCTATGGAAAGACATTCAAGAAGACCTGTATAAATCAAAAGAGGTAGGAAATTATAAAAAATTCCATTATGCCAAATTGATCTATATATCCCACATAGTTTTGATTAGAATTTAAATGGGGCCTTTATTATTATTATTATTTTAGAACTTGACAAGTTGTTTCTAAAACATATATGGAACAATACTTGGCCCAGAGTAGTCAAGGTACTCCTGGAGAAATACATGCAAGGGAACTTCTTTTTTTAAAATTTTTTTTCTTTATTGATTAAGGTTATTACATATGTGTCCTTATCGCCCCATTGCCTCCCCACCCCCCTGATGTCTGTGTTCATTGGTTAGGTTTATATGCCTGCATACAAGTCCTTTGGTTGATCTCTCCCCATTACCCCCACCCTCCCTTACCTTCCCTCTGAGGTTTGACAGTCTGATCAATGCTTCTCTGTCTCTGGATCTGTTTTTGTTAATTAGTTTTGAACCAATAATTTTTTAAAAAAATCTTTATTGTTGAGAGTAGAAGTGGGATCACTGAATCAAATGGGAGTTCCATTTTTAGTTTTTTGAGGAAACTCCATAGTGTTTCTCCACAGTGGCTGCACCAGTCTGCATTCCCACCAGCAGTGCAGAAGGGTTCCTTTTTCTCCGCATCCTCACCAGCACTTGTCATTTGTTGATTTGTTGATGATAGCCATTCTGACAGGTGTGACCGCATTGTCGTTTTGTTCTTTCAGTTACCAAGATTCCCTGGAAGGGAATACGGATTGAGACTGAGGTGTAGTGTCAGCAGTTGAGAAGTAGACAGTGCAACAGAGTAGAGTCCAGAAACAGACTGACCCATGTGTGCCAATTTGAGAATAATACAGAACTGACCTCGCAGATTAGTGGAGAAAGGGTGGACTAGCAAATGGTGCTAGGAAAAGTAACCATTCGTATAGAGAAAAATGAAATTGGACCTGATCTCACAGCTTTCATGAAGTAGATTCCAAATGGATTAAAGATTCAAATATGAAAGGCTATATTTAAACCTTTTAGAAGAAAATGTAGGAGAATGTTTATATGGTTTCTTAAGATGCAAAATTTCAAATCATATGAAGAGTTTGATAAATTTGACCACAGTGATATTAAGAAAATCTCATTTTCAAAAGACATTATAAAGAACTTAGAAAAAGAAGCCAAAAATTGAGAGAAGATATTTATAGCCCATATAACTAAGAGAAATGGTTGTTATCCAGAATATACTTAAGAATTCAAATCAATCATAGAAAAACACAACTAAATGGACAAAAAGCATAAGCTGTTAGTTCACAAAAGAGGAAACTCAAAGATTGGTGAACATAAACATTCAATGTTATTAATAAAAATAAAGTGTCTGGCAAAGAGTTTCATATGATTGCCAGCATGTAGGAAAAAAGGAAAACTCATACAACAATTTTTGTTAAAACAATTTGGTGTTGTCCAGTAGTATGGAAGAGGTGTAAATTCCATGGCCCAATAAGTTCACTTCTGTGTGTATGCTCT